ATTAGGTGACTCCCTGCTGAAGGGGTAATGAGGCAGCTATTTGTTGACTTGATAATTGCAACAGAGAGGTCTGCAGTCTTCCCAGAGCATCTGTCCATGATAGGATAAAGAACCTCCCCGGATTTGTTAGTTCTGATGAAAATTACCTACTTCTAGTGACTTACCTGGGCACAAAAGATACTTGGATGACAAGGATTATGATGTTGCAGACAAGAACCTGAGGCCCTCAAGGACACAGATGTGTTCTTATCAGTGATGGTGACTGAAGGCAAGGACTTCAGAAGAGAAAGGCAGATTCATGAAATGAACAGTTGGTAAAGAAGTACAAGATGGTGGAAGCTAAATACTTAGGCAATAGTTTTTGTGAAAAATAGACGTGGGGGTTTTTGTAAACTGTGAGCTCAATGAGTCAATGGTGTGACAGGGCAAACAAAAAAGCTATTGTCATCTTGGACTGCATTAAGAGGAGGAGAATTTCCACAAATAGGGATGTGACAGCCCCACTGTACTCTGCCTTCATTCCATGATCATTTCTGGGTGTCACCATTCAGGAAGACACCGATAAACTGGAGGGTATCCAGAGGAGGGAAACTAGGGTGGTGAAGGGCCTTGAGGTCATGATCCATGAAGGAACTGGGCAGAGGAGAAGATTAAGGGGGACATGAAAGCTGATCTCAAACATTCGAAAAGCTGTCGTGTGACGCCAGGATCAAACCTGTTCTATCTGGCCCCAGAACATACAGCCAAGAGCAATGGCAGAAGTTACTTCCTTTTTATTAGAGTGGTTCCAAGGGGAATGGGCTGCTTTGGGAGGTGATGGGCTCCTATTCACCAAAGGTTTTCAAATAAAGGCTGGATGAGTACTTGGTGGATATATTGTAGACAGGATCCTTTTTCAAGTATAGATTGGACTACATGACCCCTGAGATCCCTTTCCAACTCTGAGATTCTGGGATTCAAAGAAGAATTTTCAGACTTACAATAAGTTATAGGAGGGAGAATGCTTATCAATTGTTTTCCATTTCTGAAGACGACAAAATAGAGGAATAGTTTAGCATGAAGCACAAAGGCATTAATCATAAAGACATTATAAAGATAACGTTCTAGATGGTGAGAAAGATTAAATATCAGAACAGGCTATCAAGGAAGGTTACAGAATCTCTGCTCCTGATAAGCTTTAAATAAATTATCCAAAACAGATGGGTAATAAAGTATGGTCCTGACTAAAGAAGAAAGGTAGACTAGTTGAATTCAAGACTGTTTTAAGCAATATGTTTCTACAAAATTCATCTTTAAGCAAGTAAAAGCCTTTAAACAAAAATATAGCATGAAACACAAAATTTTAAAATGTGAAAAATTTTTACTGGAAGGTGGTCTCCCAACTAATTTCTCTGGAGGTCACATTTATGTTCTTGAAATATTTCCTAATGAAAAACATGAAGTTCAGTATGTTTTCTAGGAGTTCTTAAAAAGTATACTGAATTATTTGTTCCCTTGCCCAAAAAAGTTTATATACTTCCTAAGGGAAAAATGTTGTATAAATTTGTTTTTTACTTAACCACCTTATAAGAATAGCATGCCAGGTGAGCACATTTCTGATCATCAAAGCCCCAGGACTTTTCACCTTTTTGGTGTCATGGACCCCTATGAGAATCTAGGGAAGCCTATGGATTCTATGAAGAATGTTTTTAAATGCATCAAATAAAACAGAAAGGATTACAAAGAAAACCAATTATATTGCAATATAGTCATCTCAATATTAAAAAAAAAAGTCCAGAGACAACTGATTTGGGCAGTCTCTGATTCTACATGTGTGTGTACATACAGACATACAAAGAATTACATGCATACAAATATATTAATAGAAGAAACCAGGGAAAGGACTCAGTCTATGAGGTAATATGAGGTATGATACAAAATGTGGCCCAGGAATTGGTAGACTTTTGGTATGGCTCACACAGTTGTACTCAACTCAAGAAGGAACCATTCAGGAGGGTCAGAATGAAGGAAATAAAGTGTAATTATGGATGACTGGTAAGGACAAAAAGTTAGAAAGATGACTTGAATTTGGGCAGATTAGACCTGAAATATGAAGGAAAGATACAAATAAAATAAAAAGAGGATATGTTGAAAGTCAGTGCGCTACTGAATGATTCAACATGCAATATCTAAGAAAAGGTAGTCTACTCTATCTCCTGCTCAAGGCATGTCCTTTCCTTACAAAGTCTATACTTGGTCTAGGTTAACATGAAATGTTTCAGGTAAGTGAGAATTCTTCTTTCAGTCCTGAAGGAAGGTTTGACTATCCAAAATGATTTCTCTGGTTGCAAATTTTCCTAGTGTAGGCTGAAAGTAAGGTCATAATATGGCATAATGTGGTTTCCTCTTTGAGCCGCACCCACATAGAATCATCATAGGATCATAGATTTAATGCTGGAGGGGACCAGAATGGTCATCAAGTACTACCTTCTTTGAGGCTCAGAGAGGTTCAAGTCAGTTGCCCAATATTACAGAGCAAGTAGAAAAGACTGGCTTCAAATCCAGGTCCTTGCAGGTCCATATCTATTGTTCTTTTCTGCCTATAAACTGTTAGAATGTCAAAGGATAGGGGAGAGAGCATGGGCTGGACTTGTGAGCATGGTACACCATATCACTTGAAACTTTGGTTTAGCAAAGACAATAAAAGAAGTGATTACAGTTCAGCTGGGGTGTTCCACAGTGAATATCAGAATGATGACAGTTACTTAAATCACTCACTGGGTGGAATAATTACCTTGAAATGAACAACTGAGAGCATACTACTTATATTATGAGATGGAATTGAGCACATCAGAAGTGTTAACAGGTTTGGTAGAATAGGTCTTTGTCAGAATCACGCAGGTGATTAAAGACATGAATTGGACGTCTACTGCACTAGGGTGCTCTTACTAACATGAACACAACAGGCAAAATTGGGCAATTACAAAGTTGAGCATTAGCTCAGAGAGCATCTCTTGCCAGTTGAAAACAGCTGATTCTAGGTTAGCATGTGTGAATCACTCAGCAGTTAGCTATAGAGGTTATCTATTATATTGCTTTGCGGAGCAGTTCTAGTCCAGAACACATCAGATTTGGAATGCTGTATTATTGGAAATGCCAGGTAATTGTCTCCTCGGGGCAGAAGGCCTATAGATGAGATGAGCTCTTACAATTACCGATGTTAAAACACCCAAGGAGCCCTAGCACTGAAGCAGGAGAGATGATAGGTAGGTTGACATTAAGTGTTTATTTCACAATTAACAGAGGGCCACAGGGCCTTTTCTGAAATTTGTACTTGGGTGTCCAGATTTAACTCTTTGCTATATTGCAACATAGTTTCCAACATAGTATGATCATAAAGCAGTCCTTGAGAAGGCACCTAGCAAGCATCCAGCTTTTAAGCAACACTTTTGGACAGCCTGAAATAGATATGTCTTCTCTTCTTAAGGGTCATGCAGGGAAGATTATATGATTTTCTTCAGAAGTTGTTTTTAGAATCTCATAGCCTTGGAAATCTCATCTCTCATATGCCTTTCTTCTACTGAAATTTAAGCCATTTACTTTGGTCTGTCTGGCATCCCTCCCTGAAGAAGTGGAAAGCTGCAGGCCCAAAGGCTAGATATAACTGGCTCTTAGAAAGTATCCCCTTCTGAGAAATTTCTCTATCTATTGCTATTGCAGCCTAGGGAATTATTTTCACCTGGTCAGCTTCTATTGCTATCTCATTGGAAAGAGGAACCTCTTGAACTGTGGTTAATCAGCTGACCATAATTTCAAAGGAAAGTTGTAAGTGGTTAGGCAACTGTGGTGTAGTAAAAGACTGCTATCTTCCGAGTCAGAAGACCAGTGCTTGACTCCTAAATCTATCAACTTCCTGGCTTTGATGATGACACCTTTACCATTCACCTAACAGAGTTGTTATAGAATTTGAAAGACATGATATACCCAAAGTACTCTGTGAATTGTTAGTCTATAAAATGTCAGCTCTTGTTATTACCATATTACTAGTATGATAATTTACTATGAAACCTACATTCTAAGGAACTAGCCAGGTATAAACAAAACACTTTACTTCTAACACTCTTTTAACAGTTTGTCCTAACATTCACCTCAGAATCTACTTTCTTTGTCTCCTCTGTTTCCCCTTGCTTTCTCTCTTCCTAAGGAACAACTTTGTGGTTATATTCTTTGGTTACTCCTTCACTTTCTTGTCTGAACCAATTACTTTTTATCCTTATTTTCCAACTTCATTTCTCTTTTCTTCTAGATCTGCCCCCCCATTTTTCCAATTAATTACTTTCTATTAAGTATCTATTACCTATATAATCATATTAAATGCGCATATGTAGCACCTTTGCTTAAGTTTCTGTTTTTAAGTTATTGTGGCAAGGAGGAAAAACACAGTTTTCTACTCCTTAACAAGAATTTATTTCTGTGAGATGCTACAGTTTGGCCTCATCCAGAACATATTTCTGAGGTTTAGTAAAAAAAACTGGGTTAAAACAGGTCTTTCCATGTTACATAAAGGAATAGGAAGATAAATTATTTTCCTAAGATCACAAAGAAGTCTGAGAAGAAAGATAGAATTGTACTTCAATTCAACATTTATGAAGTGCCTACTATGTAGAGAGTACTATTTCTGTGTCTGTGTGTATGTGTGTGTGTGTGTGTGTGTGTGTGTACGTAAATATATACGGAGAAATAGATCTCTAGATAGATATAGTGATAGATAAATAGAGTGATTCCAAGTAATTTCAGGAGGGAGACAGCACTGACACCTTGGAGGGAATCCAGAAAAACTTCATGTAGTGCTACATGAGTTACACTTTGAAGAAAGTTAGGAATTCTATAAAGTGGAGCCATTTCTAATGAACAGAGCAGACTACCGGGTATGTTACTTGCAATCAGCACATCTAAATAAAATCACCTTATTTGGCCTTCTAGCCATCCCCTAAATGAGACAATCCATAGTGGGCACTTACTTTGAGACGCTGAAAGATTGGAAAAAGCTGACTTTGTTCGTCCTGCCAACCACTCCAAGCTCTCATGCATGTTGGCCAAAGCCTTTAGGTCACTGACATCACGCAGGATCTCTTGTTGTGGGATTAATTTATCACCCAGGTTCCCAATTAGAACTTCAGACTCCTTGCCAAAGGCTGCCCTGCAACACAGATTGAAAACATACATCACAAAATAGTATAAGAATTGTAGAAATGGGCAAAGACTGTCTAGTTCAAATCTAACATGGCGGTCTTACAGCAGGACAGGAGGAGCTACTATCATTCTCCTTCTAGTATGTATTACTGCCTCCAATTTTCAATGTAAGGATACCACTAAATATTTCTGTTTTGGGTTCAAGTGTTCAGAAGTGCATGGTCCCAATAAGAAAATATCAGTTTGTGCCAAAGGTTTGAGATAGATTGTAAAGCTATTAGCTGTCAGCAAAAATGAATTCAACTGAGATTGGGAACTAATCATTTGATAGGGTGAGTTAATAAAGACAGTTGCTTTTGCTAATTGGAAGAGAGGCTTAAGAGATTTATACTGCTCTGTGTGTGTGCACTGCATGTGCATATATATATATATATATATATATATATATATATATATATATGTATCTAAATATACACACTTATACACACACAGTATTCCCCATAATCTTTTCCCTTCTCATTTTAGGCTGGAAAACAAAATGACAAAAGAGAGTCATTTCCTTCTCACAAATGGGACAGAAATGGGCTATAATGACAGAACAGGGCATCCAGAGTTCAGTAAGAGTGGTAAGACAAATTCATTCATGTATATGAATACGTATATCTATATATCTATATATATATCTATATATCTATATACATAAATTTCCCCCTGATATGATAAAGATTTTTGATGGCACATCATTTCTCACCCAGCTGCCTTCCTCTGAACTTTTCTATCATGCCCCAGGAACCCCTTCATCCTGCAAGGTCCCTTCAGCTCTGAAATTTATACTTTTTTTCTTTCCTAGGCAATGGTTAGGACCCTTGACAAGTTTTGCTAGGTGGATAATTTTAAGTCTCAGGATCTCCTATTAAATACAATAACAAGCATTTATTAAGTACTTAACTGCTGGGGTTACAAAGGCAAAACTGGAAATAGTCTCTATCCAAAGGTAACTACATTCTGCAAGGCAGGAGGAGAGGAGAGAGACAATCCATAAACATGCAAGTACATACAAAATAATTTGAAGGAGAAAACATTGACATCTAGAGACATTAGGAAAAGGCTTCTAAAGAAAATTTGTATGGGCTGAGTCTGGAAGAAAGAGGGAGTTTCTAACAGATGAAGATGAAAAGGAAGGTGAGATGGCATGGAAGGGAGTAGCCTTTGGAAAGGTATGGAAGCAGGAGATGAAAACTGTGATTGGGGAATAGTGCACAGGACAGTTTGTCTGGAAATGGGCTATGTGAAGAATAATGTGAAATAAGACTGAAAAATTATGGAGCTGGATTGTGAAAGTCTTTGAAAGCCAACCTTGGCAAGTTGTGGAAGCAATAGGGAGGCACTGATGGTTCTCTAACAAGGGGAGTGACGTGATCAGACTTGTGTTTTAAGAAGAATTTTGTCACTCGTGTGAAAAGACTAAAGGGAAGAGAAATTGGAATCAGGGAGCCCATTTAAAAGACTGATTCAATAGCTTAGGCAAGAGATGTTAAAGGCCTGAACTACAGTGGCTGTTATGTGAATGGCAAGAAGGGGATGGATGTGGGGTTATGCTGCAGAAGACTCAGCAACTGACTATATATAGTAACAACAGGGGACAGGGAAGGAGTTGATTTTGATTCTGAGCTTGCAAATCTGAGGAACTGTAGAGATGGTGTCCTCCTCAACAGAAACAGAGAAAGAAAAGTGGAAAAGGATTAGGATTCATAGAGGAAATGAAGGTGATAATGAGATCTATTTGGACATGGTACCCAAAGGATAACCAGTTGGCGCTATCCCCACTTTACAATGAAGAAGACGAGAACTGGAGAGATTAAATAATGTCTTATAAAACATAACTAATAAATAGCTGAGAAATGACTCAAAGTTGTCTTCTCATCCTAAGTCCAATGCTCTTTCAATTACGCCATGCCGTTAATTTTCAATAGTCAAAGCACCATAAGTGAGAAGAAGTGTTTGCCTTAGAGTAAGGAAATTCGAGGTTATATTAAGCAGTATAATAATAATAATAATAATAATAATAATAATAATAATAATAATAATAATGATAATAAATGATGTTAGAAAGGTGCCTAGTTGGCAGAGTAGAATAGAGTATTAGGCTTGGAACTGGAAATTCCTGAATTCAAATCCTACCTCAGACGCTATCTGTGTGTCACCATGTGCAAATCACCTACCTTCTCTGTGCCTATTTTTTTTCTCATTTTAAAAATGAGGGGGTTGAACTCAATGGCCTCTAGTCTCTTCCAGCTCTATATCTATAATCCTATGATTTTTATCTGGGCATTTGCCTTTAAATCTTACATGCTATACACTTCTTTAAAAGAGGCAGCACAGTGTAGTGAAGAGTCAGCAAGAGTCTAGTCCTGCCTCTGACACAAACTTGCTATGAGATCCAGGGCTAGTCATTTCACCTCTTAGTGGTCAAAGCAATTCTTTAGGAATATAAATGACCAATGAGTTGCACATATGCATCCACAGAGGGAATGTTCACACTAGGAATTCCCCATATGAATGTAATCACACCCTTCTCCCTCCACCCCAATCCTGCTTCCCCCTGTGAACTGCCTCTTTAAATATATATCTGTGAGGAAAAGAATAACTGCTTTGATTAAATGCCCTTAGGTATCCACATAGGGAGATATTCTAAATGGCTGGTCCATGGACAGCAACCTATGCCTCATACATAAATAGCTCTTCAGAAACAATTCACCTTACCAGCCCCAAACTTAGAAAGCCACGCCAGACATTCCAAAGCACCTCAAAGTTTCAAGACTTCTCATTTCCTGGGAAGGCTAACTGGATAATCAGCACAGACAATTTTACCTAAAAGAAGCTTTTCCTTGGTATTCAGTAAGTTTTCTCTGAGTTTGATACTTCTAGATCAGCTTCCTGGGATCATGCTAAGCAAATTTCCCATCCCTCACTGTAGTCTTTGAGCCCAGGAAATGGTTCTCCTTATCTCCCATTTTGCTATCATTCAGCCATGTTGTAAAGAATTAGGTTTCTTACTCTACCCTCATGCTAATCAATCCTTCTAGTTCCTTAATCATTTCTGATAGATAGAACACACAAAATACTTTTTGTGTTTGACAGCTAAAAGCTGCAATAAAGAGGCAAATGTCTTTGAAAATTAGGCCCAGGTCATTTTTATGCATGTAGGGAAAATGCCGGGTAGAATGTGACAATCAAGATGAGTGTATTTATATAAAATTTTAATCTGCTTGTGCAGCGATCTTCAAGTTTTTGGCATGTCTGCTGTGCATGTTTCTAGCACGGCATTCCTAGTCTGTGTTCCATTTCGCTTGCTAAAATTTGCTTAACCTCCTAAGCCTTGAGAGCCATAGACTGAGAAAATACAAAATGCTTCATGTTGAATATATAGTAGACATCTCATTTGACAGGAATCCATAATCACTCCTAACAACCAGGAAAGAGCACAGGAACCATGACATTGAGAATAATTGATCGACAGCTGTAGCCAGTTACTCAGAAAACCCATCCCTTCAAGGATCTGTGTGTGTGCATGGTGCTGGTGGAGGGGTTTTACACCCACAGAATTTTGAAATGGTTTTACTTCGTGATGCTTCACTGCCAATTTTTTTTTAAAGGAATTGCAGAACCTTGTAAATTCACACTTCAGGAGTCTGCAAGATAGGAAAATAAGCAATAAAAGCTCAGTGAGGGAAAGAGAATAGTTATTAATTCAGCACAATATTGGAAAGGTTCTGTGGTTGGACTCAGAGCAGAGATGGTAGGATATATAGCTAAGGACTGTGGAAGATGTGTTCATCAGTCCACTAGAATGGTAGCATACCTCCCAAATGACCAATAGTCAGCATTTGAACCAATCTTATCTCCTTTTATGGGATGTCTTCTGCTTATTACAAATGCATTCTATGAAGGTTAACTATTTTTGGAGATAACATGTACTCATAAGTGTATATGGAAAATAAATATGCATGAAATTACAGAAGATAAAATACATAGTTATCTTGGGGCCAGGCACTAGTAAGAGATGTTCAGGAAAGATCTCAAGTGGATATCATGTGAGCAGAGCTTTGAAGGAAAACAGGAATTCTAAGAGGCAGAGGCAAGGAAAATATGCATTCCATACATGGGGAACAACTTCAGTAAAGGCACAGTGATGGGAGCTGAACAGATGGGATGGATGGTAAACAGCACAAAGGCCAGTTTGGCTGGACCAAAGAGTTCATGAACAGGCTGGTAAGCTAGGCTGCAGCTAGGTTGTGAAGGCTTTTAAATACCAAACAGAAGAGTCTGAATTTCATCATAGAGATAATAGGGTATCACTGGAGAATATCTCCAAACAGGAGAATATGTGGCCAAACCTTTTAGGAATGTATTTCAGGAATATCACTTTGGCACCTGTGTGAGGGACGAATTGGAGAAGCAAAAAGAAGCAGGCAGACCAATCAGGAAGCTACTGCAACAGTACCAAATGCAGTCACAGAGTGGGACACAACTGAAATGACTGAACAACAATGATGGCACAGGCGAGAGCTACTACGGGTCTCGTGGAATTCGGGTGGTGGCTGAGAATGGAGAGAAAGGAACAGATATGGGAGATGTTGTGGAAGTAGAATTAATAAGACATGGCAACTTACTGGCCATGGAGGTGAGAGGAATAAGGAGAGAAGGATGATTCCCAAGTGGCAAACACGTGGTACTGGAAGAATGATGCTGACCTTGGCAGAGGTAGGGAAAACGAGCAAAAGGGTGGGTTTTAGAGGAAAGATCATGAGCTCTGTTTTGGGCTCTGCTATGAGCCTGAGATGCCTGCAGGACATCTAGCTGATGATATCCAATAGGGAGTTGGTGATGTGGGAACAGAGGGAGGGAAGGTAGGGCTGCATGGATAGATTGAGCAGCCATTTTTCAGAGAGATGACGAGTTTAGTGACTGAAGGGAGCTGAACGAGATTATTGAGAGGGAGTATAA